ATTATAATTACTGTAAACAAACAGGAGCAGACTGTGTGTCCTGTATAATTTTTCAGCCACAGAGTTCGTTTCAGTCATGATTTACCCCAGCTCGTGTTTTATTCTGAGAGCTCACTTTAGCTCCACTAACACTCATTAGACTGACCAAAGTACTTTTTTATCTGTAGGAACACAATAGCAATCAATGAATCAGATCTAGTATAATGCCACATGCATGTGTGCAGCAGCATCATTAAACACACTGATTAATAAAGCTCTAAATCTCTCCATAGGAGAATGAAGGACTCTAGTTTGTACTTTATTCCTTTTTAACGATGCATAATGTCTGAAAGAAGTTCTAGGTTCAAGGTTGGCTTAAACAGAGCGAATATCTGTAGTAACGTTTACTCAACTGTGAAGTGATGTTACAGGATTTAAACCGGAGATGTGGGTAACTTGAGATAGCTGTTTCTCTTGATCGTAATGAAGCCCATCCAGTGTTTTCAGACAGAGACCAGTGATGAGTTACTGCTGTAGTGTTTGGGCACTGTGACAACACAGAATATCTCCATAGCCAAGAACATACATGTACCATACCATGCTATGGTTTAAAAGATGAATGTAGCTTCTAGTTCTGAAAAATTAAGCCAACCCTCAAGCACCTTGAGCCTGTATTATTTCTTATGGCCAGCAGGGGGTGAATCCGGGTCTTCTGATTATATAAAAGTCTATGGCAGGGGTGCCCAATCCTGGTCCTCGAGAGCTACTGTCCTGTAGCTTTTAGATGCGTCCTTGTTCTGACACACCTGAATCAAATGAATGGCTTGTTATCAGGCCTTTGCCAAACTTGATGGCATACTGAAGAGGTAATCAAACCATTTGATTCAGCTGTGTTGCAGTAGAGATGCATCTAAAAGCTGCAGGACAGTAGCTCTCGAGGACTGAGATTGGGCACCCCTGGTCTATGGGAATGTGACCACATGGCTTCCTCTCTCTGTCGCCGCTTTAAAGGCCTTTATGTTCACTTTATGGGCTCAATTGTGAGTCCACTTTGTACATTATGGTCATTTTAACAGGCAAAGAAGAGTCTAGGGTTTGGTCATTGTCTAACTATTTATAAATCACAAGTCAATCAGATCCGCCACTCGCTCATCGCATCAGGCATCAAAACACGGAAAGAAAAGCTTAACTTCAGGATTCTGAACTGGACTTAACTAACTAGTGGCTGACATCACGGTTTTTCTAACCACGAGGAAGTCAGACATTCTGTAATCCTTTATACAAAAAGTCTAGTTAAATTTTTGAGACTGTTATTGATTATGAGTCTTAAAGTATAACATTTGGACAACAGGGGGTAACTTTATCTTTCACTTTTCTTTTGTCTTCCACTCCTTTCACAGTGGAAGTGATTCATTTTATTTATACTTCTACTGACCCTTTCAATCTTCTTTCTATTAGTAAAAACTGAATAATAGGAACAGTTAGGTAATAGGATCATTGACGAGCTTAACATTTGTAGCTTATGTTTCTAAAGTTGTCTCATGCATAGACCTGTTGGGGCCAAAGTTCTAATATCCTCCATGCATGCATTCTTCTTTTGCTTATCTAATCCAGAGTCACCGGGTGGGGAGGCTGAAGCCTGTCCAAGAGGCAGGATAAAGGGTTAGGGTTTGGCCAGTCTGTCGCAGGGCTAACAGGGAGAGACAACCATTCACACCTATGGGCAATTTACAATCGACTAACCCCACTAACTACATGTCTTTAGAGCGCTGGAGCTGGAGTATCCACAAAGAACCCACGCAGACACAAGGACAACATGCAGAGAGAGACCCGTCCATTTGAAATAACCACAAATATATCTCAGTTGGTCTTTGATGAAGCCATTTCCACTTCTGTGCCAAGCATATCTGCTTCTGCTATGGCCAAATAACTCTTCTGACTCACCTCTCCAGAGCACATTATGCAATAGTTACACCTGCAGACCAGGCAGGATGAACTGCGCCGATTCTACTGGATCATTCGTCACACATTAATTAGAGTTGGGCATTGTTTGGAATTCTATGATAAAGATGTCCGCAATTATAGGAAAACTTTGACTCAAGGTCTAGCTGGGACTTGCAGCATTCCCCATGGAGCAGTTGGCAACATTTATCTGCATCGCGCATGAAAATTACAGGAGACTACAAGGACAGTCTTCCTGTATTTGGGATGAAAAATTCCACAAAAAGAAGGCTGGTTGTGTTGATCCACATCCACACACATGCACACGCCAAAAGGGTCTGATTGGAACCAGGCTAAGAGAGGCCTAAACCTTGGTTGAAATGGAAATGAAAGATAAATGTGGACAGGTACAGAGGTTAAGGGTGAAAGGTCACCGGCATAACTATCCCACATCTTCAGTGCAGAAACAGGAACCTGTGGACAAGAAGTGGTCTTGTTGCTGTTTGCAGTTGAGGTTAAGGGTTAACAGATGAATGTAGGTCAATGGACTGGCTCTGAAGTTTCTGTGTGTGTGTGTGTGTGTGTAGCCAAACTTCTACTTACTGTGTGTGTGTGTGTGTGTGTGTAGCCAAACTTCTACTTACTGTGTGTGTGTGTGTGTGTGTGTGTGTGTGTGTGTGTGTGTGTGTGTGTGCATATATGTAGCAAGTATGAGCGTATGTGGTTCCATTTTTTTCCAGCTCATGTCTATGTGATGTGTATGTGTGTGTGACCTGCTCTTTGTTCCTGTGCTCGGTGCAGTAAGGAGAGTGGACCGTTGACGAGGATTAATGCCCAACATATGGCAACCCTACGGGACACACACACACACACACACACACTGCAGTCATTACTCTGAACAAAGAACTGTAAGGCTAATGAGAAGGCGATATCATGTGTCCTCTATACACTCACACACACACACACACTGCATGAATTCATGTGGATGTGCACAAACACACTCTAATGTTGCTTACACATGGATGGATGCAGATGAGCACACACACACACACACACACACACACACACACACACACACACCTGGTACTGTAACATGTATCCATTGTGTGTATGTGGGAGTTGAAAGGTAGCAGAGGGTTGTTGATGGAAAGGTTTTAAGGTTTGAATGCAAACACCTGCGCGCGTGTGTGTGTATCTGTAAAAGAGAGAGAACAGGGAGTTTATTGCAAAGATGAGTGTGTGTGTGTGATTGAAGGAGGACGAGGTGAAGCAGAGTTCAGAGGAAAAGTGAAGGTTCATGTTTTCATTTCTTCATGCTCCTCTGCCTCTCTCTCTCTTTTTTTCGGTGTTTGTATGTGTGTTTGTGTGTGTGTGTGTTTGTGTGTGCACGTCTTTTTTCTCACATACAGATCACACCCAAAAACATTTGCAGACGTTTTCTCTCTTTTAGCACACTTTCTCTTTTCTCTCTTGCTCCGCACCTCCCAGTGGGATTTGACCGATATTCAGTACTTGACACGTTCCTGGAAAACCGCACAGCCACTCTGTAGTCTCTGCTGTTGTAGTAGCTGACCCGTCTGTAAGCCCACACCCATGTTAGGTGCTTTTCAGACTTGCACCCACTTTCCATTAATCTGATGGCTTCATGTTTGAATAACAGCCCTGATGACTTTTATGTAAAAGTCATGATGACAGTCGTGTTAATTGGAGAAGGTGTGTTACCTGTAAAACTGTATCTCCAAAATGAGGTTAATTCTATATTCATATCTGGACACTATGAATGATATCTACGCTAGGGCCTAAAGACCATTTACTAGGGAAAAACAAAGCTGTTTCTCAGTATATCACTAGAAACACAACTTAATGCACTGAGGGCCACAATTACACATACAAAATTATGATTTCATAAGTTGGAAAAGCATGTGCATATGGTTCACTTTTCTATATCAACAGCTGGTATGAATAAAAACAGTAATATTTGTTTTTTCTTTTATTGATGTACAATTAAAAACCAAATACATTGCTGTCATGTGTAGATCTTAAACTTTTAAGGCATTCTTAGTGTTTTCAAGGTCTTTGCAAATGACACTAACATAACAGAGCAGTGCTGCTTTTGTTGGGACAGTGTTGGTATAAAGACTATAAAATCCAACTAAAAGGATTATTTAAGAACACTTTTACAATCACAAAACAGTGCGTTAGTTATCTGTGTATTGCCCCCAGGTGGAGATACAAGACTAGTGTCCCATCTAAAAATGATGACAGAAACTTATAAGCTGGATGCATAAATTTCTGATTTTGTTTAAAAAAAAAGTTTTATTAGAAGTTTGACCCTCCAGGTTTTTTAGCGTAAGTACTGGAGTCACTTTTCAAATGACTTTGTTAAACTGTGGTTGCACTACAGCTACGACACAAGTGGCTCAGTATTTCTTGGTTTAACTGTCAGCAAGCAGATGAGCTCCATTCTACTTATTTATTTAATTAATTTTTGACGGGGTAGATGTGTACCACACATTTGCCATATTTAGCACTGAAGTCGTTTCCCTTTGTTTCAAAGTCAAGTAATAAAAAGCTAGTTAGCTATACAAGCTAACGTTAGCGCCTTCTGTTAGCACAGGAAAGTCACACTTTTGTACTTTCATTACAGAAATCTTAGGTTTGGAAAATAAAGTAGAGTGTACCTGCTTCTATTTTTTCTAATCTCATGCAGTGGCACTATGTCGAAGTCTTGAACAGGTTTTATTTTTTGGCCTCTCGCTCTCTCTCTCTCTCTAGGTGTAAATGACTTTGGATGGCCATCTGTTACTTAGCTACCCTGCAGAGAGTTGGCCTGCATGCGCACCTCCTCTGTGTGTGTGTGTGTGTGTGCGTGTGTTTGTGTGTGTGTGGCTTCCTTTATGTTTAGCCGCATGTGTTCAGTTACAGTATTCTTGTTTGAGTGTGTTTATTTATGCCTACGTGCACATGCATAATACAGTAGGTTGTGTGTGTGTGTGTGTGTGTGTGTGTGTGTGTGTGTGTGTGTGTGTGTGTGTGTGTGTGTGTGTGTGTGTGTGTGTGACAGAAATAGGGGGGTTGAGAGAGATGCTGGAGTGTGTTGAGTGTTTATTCAGGTTCACTTGCTCATGTAGAACATGTATCCCAGCTTATGTATGTAAAAAGAATGCTGTTTTACATGAGTGTTAGCATATTTGTTCCTCCTCTGTCTCTCCGTGAAGACTGTAAACTCCTTAAAGTCCATCGGCAGCAATAACAATCTGCATATCTAAACAACATTTAAGTTTTCTGCTGAGTTTCCTTCCAGGAGCTTCTTCACAGGAAAAAGTCTGTCAGCCATACTCAGGATTTCAGAAACACTTGGTGGACATGAGACTTTGTACTTCATAGTCTTTCAGTTGCTCAAAGGGCAGGATGAAATATGTCGGTGAGGCAGCTTTTACTTTTTTGCTCGGAGTCCTTGGAAACTTGTCTGCCCGACACAGCTGACAGTGTTGATATCTTTATATGGAAAACAAAGACCTCAGATGTGAAACTGATATACATGAACCTAAGTGCTTTGAATGATACCGTATTGTATCATGTTTGATGCAGATGGTCTGAGAGGCGTGCACAGATTATAATGGCTTCATTTTTCTGCACTCAACCCTGGAAAATCTTAGAAACTAATCTCCTTTTCTCTCTCTCCCCCTCCAGCTCTCGCCCAGGCCGTCCTCCCAAGCGTTGTTCTGGTGCAGGGATCCAGGAAAGCCCCAGGCTGCTTCACCCAGGCCTCCCTGGCCTGCTGTCCCCCAGCCTGCTGTCCCACACTGGTAAGAGAAAGAGACCGAGACATGAATGATTTTCTCGTTTTTAATGCATCTTATTACCTTATTGGGATTTATTTTGAGTCCTTTTTTTGTTGTTCCAGCAGCTTCTGAGGACTCTGTGATAGTGCCCTCTACTGGTCAAAGTAATTATGACAGAAAACAGAGAGGAAGTTGTGTAGGGAGGAGGTAGGGGTGGATGGATGGGTCAACAACTGCTGTTTGATGCAAATTACTTTCAATAAATACTCATATAACCCAACCAAACACAGGTGGAAAAATCTGGGATCGCATGCAAGCATAAACTGTGTTGATTTTTAGATTATTTCCAGACTGAAGAATTTCAGATTCAGTGACTTGTAGGGACTGAAATCGTCTCTTTGATGCTTAATTTAAACATACGATGCTTTTCATGCTAACATGTCCCGCGACCTGATGTTGTAAGTCTTGTATTTCCATGAAAATGGAGAGCACAGGTAATGAGGCGGGTTTTGCAGATGACAGGTCACATACAATGCAACGTAAGGAGGATATTTTCTTCCTTTCATACAAGATGCAGTGATGAGTGACGACTTCATCACCTCTACCACCTGTGGTAAAGCACAGCGATACACTGGATTGCTTCCATACCAGCGGTGAAGAGCAAACAGGAAGATAACTGAAAGATTGTGGGGAAATCTGTGGGAAAAGTTGTTTTTGTGCCTAAAACTGCAAAGATCTCTAAAGTGATCAATGGTTAGTAGGAAATGAATGTTCCTGTTAGCTTGGGCTGTGTAATTAGCTGGTCAGGGCTGTAGATTTTACGAATGCTGTGGGCATTTTTGCACTGAACTGGAAGAGAAAATTCAACTTTTAACCCATTTAAGCTCCTTTACAGCACTTAAAGTAATGGCTGAACACAGATTTTTGTTCACATATTTTTTCAGTCATTAGTCAAGGACATGCACTCAATGACCAGATGGACTTGAATATGAGCAATAAAGGATTTTCTGGTGCATTTTCAGGAAGAACTAATGAAAAGCTCGGTGACCGTTAGTTTCCATGAATTTCTAAGGGGGTTATGAGTATACCTAAAATTTGATTAAGAAATGACTTGTGTTCCCTTTTGTGTCATTAAGTTTGCACATGTTTATGAATACATGGTCACAGGAACTTCAGTCGTGTTTTTTAATGTGAAATATTATTTATGCATAGTCTTTACTTTGTTAATACTGCACAACAGTTGTCATATCAAAGTTCGTGTTTCCCCCTCGATCGCTCTAAATTTCGCTGCTGGTCGGTCCTGAACGGTTTGCGCTGGTCGGCTCACTCTGTTACTGCGTTTCCGTGTCTGTTTAATGGACCTAATGTGTTTCCCGCTCTGTGTTTGACACGTGTTTCAGTTTGCGAATTGGTGACAGCTGGTAGAGGAGCCAACTGCTGGCCTTTAATGGAAAAAAGTATCACATTGTTATGCTTATAACCTCCAGAGAAAATGACCAGTAATCCTCATAAAGCTGCGCACTGACACATTTCACTAATTCTGAGCTTTCACATTAACATCTACCATGAATCCCGAGCGGGCTGTATTTTAAGGAAACACTCATATGTTTTTTAAATTTTTTTTGATCAAATGTGTAAACATCTCTGTAGTGCCTGTAGTGCTGTTTAAGTATCTAGATTGTGTGGATGCAAGTTGCCGAGTTGTAGAGATACGGACGTTGCTCTGAGTACTCACAATATGTTGCTCAGAGCACCATAAAATATATTTGTACGCTCAACAGGAATGTCTCCTTCCAGAAATCATGAGGTGTTTTTATGCGTACCCTGTTGTGAGCAGTTTCATGTAGAAACAGTTTTCTCCGTACCTTTTGCATCTGCCAACCAAAGAAGCGTGCAGATGGGTCACTCCGTTATCAGAGCAACCAAAAACGAAGGAGGTCCCCACTCGACCTCCTCAGAATCAGCTATTACAAGCATATTTAATGAAGCCATGTAAAATTTTAAACCAGCAAAAAAACACAGTGTGTCAGAGTATAGTAAATAATGTGGATCCATAAAAGAGAGCATCTGGGCAGGGCTGCAGCCCACCTTTTGGTGATCTGTGATGTGAAGTAACCAACACGCATCGGTACTCCGAATGTTGGAGCTCTTTTCCTCTATCCTCATCCTTTCTTTCTGAGCAATCGAGATGGCAAAGAAAACAAAATGAAAGGCTCCCTCTTTTTTCCCCCTCCTGTAGCCACAGAAAGTGGAAATGGAGGGAACGCAAAGGATAGAGGAGGGGGAGAAATGGAGAGAAGAAAGGAGGGATGTCGCCAGAGGAGGTAATGAAACCTAAAAATGACTGCCAAAGTACTGAGGAAAACATGGTTGGAGGGACCAAAGAGTGGGAAAAAAAGATGGAACCGAGGAGGAGGCAAGGAGTGTGACAAAAATGGCGCGATGGAAGACGGATAAACGAATGGATGACACAACGAAAGAAAAAAACGGGTAAAGCGAAGGAGACGAGGAGGAGGAAAAAGACCTGCAGAGAAAGAGAAAGGGAGAGTGAACGAGTGCAGATTGCATGGTGGTGTGATGAATGACACGTCTCTGGGGTCCCACTCCTCCATCTGTCCATCCTCCCCCCTCCTTCCCTTGCTGTGTCCCTCTTTTCTTCCCTTTCCCTTCTTCCTCAACTCGTCTCCCTCCCTCCTTCCTGCTCTGTCATCCAGGTTTTCATGTTCTTCATTTTTTAAGTCTCTTCTTTTCCTCCTGCTTGCATCTTCCTTACTTTATTACTTCCTACTTCTTTCACTCCCTTCTCTTCCCCCCATGTCTGCCACCTTTCTCACTTTATTCTTTGCTTCCTTTATTTTGTCACTTTATCCTCTTCAATCTCCACTTCTTGTCTCTCCTACTCCTCTCCTTTACTTATTCTGCTATTCTACTTCCTGCTTTCCTTCTTTCCCCTCCTCCTCCTTTCTTCCTTCCTCCCTCCCCTTTTATTTCCTTCTCTATCTCCTCTCTATTTTCTTCCCTCCTCTTTTGTCTACTCATCTTTGTAATTGCTTTCCTGTGCCTCCTCTTTCTTCCTTTTTGTTTCTCCCCCTCCTCATGCTTTAATTTCCTTATATCCTTTACTTTCTTCTGCTTAATTTGTTCTTGTAACCTTTCGATCTTCCTTGCCTTATTTTCCATCTTCTTCCATCCTGCTTCCTTCATCTTACTGTCCCCTACTTGCCCTCCATTCTCCTAACCTTTGTTTTCTTCTTTTCCTTCCTTAAACTTGCTCCTAACTCCTAACACACTTCCTATCCTCCCTTCTCATTTTCCTTCATTCCTTCACTCTTCCCTCCTTTTTCCTATAAGTTTTCCTCCATTTTCTTCCTTTCTCTTCTTGTTTTTTGTATCCTGCTTGATTGTCTCTTGCCTTGCTTCCCTGCTCTGTTCACATTTTTATTCCTAAACTCATTCCATTCATCTTGACTCTTCTTGTAAACTTTTCTATCCTTCACTCTTCCTTCTTTTTCTTAGTTCCACCATCCATACCTTGTCTTCCCCCCTTTCCTTTGTCATTTCATCTTCCATGATTTTCTTTCCATGTGCCACTCATTTGCTGCAGTTGTCTTCTTTCTTTCTCCATCATTCCTTTTTGCTTTCCTGCTCCCTACCCCATCCCTTCGTCATGCCCTCAGCGTCATTCTCCTCACCTTCTTTTTCCCGTCTTTGTATTCCTCCTTCATCCCCTCACAACCTCTTAATTTTTCCTCACTTTCCTTTTTTCGTGTGCTGTTTTTGTATCCTCCTTGCTTCCTTCGTTTTCTCCTTCCCCCTCTCCCCCAATTATGTCCTTTTTTAAAAAGAAATCCAAGCATCTTTCTTTCCCTCCTGCTCCCTCTATCAGCTTTCTTCTCTCTCCTTTGTCCTTTCTGCTTTTTTGGGGTCACTACCCTTCCTTCTCTTCTTCTGCTTTCTTTCCCTTCATTTCCTTTTTCTTTAATTTGTCCTTTCCTCTTTTATTTCCAGCCTTTCTTTCCTTTCCCTTTCTTTCCTCCTTCCTTTCATTTTCCAGATCTTCCTCCTCCACCTCTTTTTCCTTCCTGTTGTTTCTTCTGTCATTTCTTCAACCCTGAATTCCCCCACGCTTTCCCTTTCTCTTCCTCTGCTCTTGCCTCCTTGACTGTCTCCTTCCATCTTTCCCCTCTCACCTCATCGTGGTCCCACACTAAACTTTCCTTCTCTCCTTCCTACCCTCATTTCAATCATCTCCTCTTTCCTTTCCTTCCACATTGTGAACGTCCTCACTTCTCTTCCTCTGATCTTCATTTTGCTTCCTCTTCTTTCTCCACATATTTGCGTTTCGTTCTTGCCGCTCTCGTTCCTTCAGATCTTTCCCCTCCATCACCTCGCCAGTTTTTCTCCTCCATCCTTCCCTCCATCCCCCTTGACAGTGACTGTTGGCCTCCTTCTCTCCTCCCTCTCCCTCTACAGGATAAATAAAACATGGTTTTGTTTAGTGACATATGGACACAGCTCACTGTGGCATACTAATGACACACACACACACACCTGATATATGTGTGTGTGTGTGTGTGTGTGTTTGTTAAACATTAGTGGAACCCAGAGACAACATTTGCTCACTTATGATCGCTCATTAGCTCACACACACACACATACACACACACACACTCACGCACATGCATGCACAACATATATAAAACACACACACACACACTTGGCAGTTGTCAGATGTCGCATTCTGTCTCAGTCACACACACATGCAGAGTCCGTCGTCTTAGTGGCCCTGCGTCCATGGAGACACCACGTTGCTGGGGGAGACGGGCTGTTGTTTACGACCTCGCGGGCGCCACAGCAATGGGGGGCATCGGCCAATCGCAGATGGACATTTATCACACGGTTAGGAAACGCAGAGCGAGGAGGAGGAGGAGGAGGAGAGAGTTTGGAGGAAATGGTGAGAGAAGGGCAGAGGACATGAGGGCGGAAAATGAAGAAGAAGACGGGACAATGAGGAGGGCAGAGAA